CTTGGCCTCACAAAGTGCTGGGATTACAGGCATGACCCACCGCGCCAGGCCAGTGTGGTTCTTTCTGTTATGTAATTAACTTCATTAAATCCAAGAATGTAAAGGTCAGTGGTCATCTCTATTCTGCCTTCTCCAGCGTCCTTGGCAGAGTTAGAGTCAGTTGTCCCTTTCCTGTTTGTTCATGCCTTGTCCCGGTCTGCTGGGGCTGCTAGAACAAATTCTACATGGCTGGGCACGGTGGCTCATGCCTGTAATCTCAACACTTTGGGAGGCTAAGGCCTTGAGCCTAAGACCTGCCTGGGCAACATAGCGAGACCCTGTCTCTACAAAAATTAAAACGTTAGACAGGTGTGGTGGCACACGTCTGTAGTCCCAGCTACTCAGGAGCTGATGTGGGAGGATCACTTCAGCCTGGGAGACTGGGGAATGATCACACCACTGCCCTCCCGCCTGTGCAACAGAGCAAGACCCTGGCTCAAATCAAAGAAAACACACCCTAAACACTGGTGGTTTTTGAACAACAGAAATCTAGTTCTCACAGTTCTGGAGGCTGGGAAGTCCTGGATCGCGGCTCCCGCAGATTCGGTGCCAGGGAGGGCTGCTCCCTGCTTCACAGACAGCGCCTTCCTCCTGTGTCCTGTGTGCTCGCTGCTGGAAGGAGCAAGGCAGCACTCTGGCATCTCTTTCCTAAGGGCACTGTTCCCGTTCAGGAGAGCTCTGCCTCAGGCCCGGCACGGTGGCTCACGTCTATAATCCCAGAACTTTGGGAGGCCAAGGTGGGCAGATCATGAAGTCAGGAGATTGAGACCATCCTGGCTAACATGGTGAAACCCCGTCTCTACTAAAAATACAAAAAATTAGCTGAGCATGATGGCGGGCACTTATAATCCCAGCTACTCAGGAGGCTGAGGCAGAAGAATCGCTTGAACCTGGGAGGCGGAGGTTGCAATGAGCTGAGATTGTGCCACGGCACTCCAGCCTGGGCGACAGAGCTAGACTCTGTCTCAAAAAAAAAAAAAAAAGAGAGAGAGAGCTCTCCCCTCACGAGCTAATCACCACCAAGAGGCTTCACATCCTAATACCATCACAGTCGGTGGGGGGGGGGGCGGTGAGGGCCGGCGGGGGGGATTTGAACACAGGAATCTGGGGACACAGACATTCAGATCACAACGTCTGCTCCTGTTCCTGCTCCCTGAGAAACCGACTCTGAGATCCTCAGGGCCAAGGTTTGCTTTTATGTTTTCCCATGTCCTTAGTGCCAAGTGGAGAACCTAAAATAGAACAACCGGTAAGAAAGGAAAGACGGGTGGGCTTGGATGGACGTGGAAGGTGGCTAAGGAGCAAGTGGACGTTCCTGCGTCTCCACTGGTCTCAGCCCTCTGTTCCCAACACTGCTGAACGAGCTTCAGGGTTTGGATTCACACCAAGAACAGAGGGAGCTTTCTTCGTTGATCACTCCGTGTGCAGATGATGAAACTAAGTGCACATCGCGGCTCAGCGTTCAGTGGCAAACTCCGCAGCCATGAAGTCCGGGTGCAGGAGAACCGCACACCAGAGGCCAGATGCTAGAGTGAAATTTTTTGAATAAACGTGTACACATGCGTGTGAGAGAGAGAGAGACAGGCCCATCATCAATCTTTTCTGCCTTCGTTCACCGTTTGGAGACAGTAGGCTTTTAGGAGGCACTCTGTTTAGACGGGACCAATCTAAGATATCTTTTCATTCAACTTGGCAGAGATCACAAGACTTTCATGCCAAAATAACGAAGGCCTCGCTGTCTATGCCGTGTGGTGCCAATGTGGAAAAAAGAAAAGGGAGACTCCAGGGTCTGGAAATACTTTCTCAGCCATTACAGGGGGCACAGCCTGCCAGGGCCCTGCGCCCCTACCTTCATCTCTCCACAGCACAGCTGCTCAAAAGATGAGCAAGCCATTAGCTTTGTTCTCAGAGCCAGTTTTACCCTCATTTTTCTGAATAAAGGAGCTCAACTGCCTAGGAGAAACAGGTGTTGCCCGCTGGAGAGAAAGCACGAGCAGTTCTAACAAAGCGGCCCGGGGATGAAACAGACAGGGAAAGGCGTTCTTTTCATCCCAAGTGACTTCAGCGCTCTCTGCAGACTCACCTAGAAGCACAGACGGGCACCACATGGGGCATTGCTGTGGCCCAGGAGTAGACTAGACTCCACTCCCTCCGAAGACCACGGGGAACCCAGAACTCAGCAAGAGAGATCAGCGGCCGCTGGGGTCCCACTGGGGTCTCTTGCTGTCTCCCTCACCTCCTGACGCCTCCCACCTGCAGAGGGTGGCAGCACCCTCACCACGGGCTGGGGACAGAGGGTGCAGCTGCATTTTCTTACTGTGAAGTGGTCCCTCAATTATGACCCGTCCAAAGGGGAGGGTTGATGCCAGGGACTTTGTCCAGAGCCAGGTCTAGAAGACCCAGCATTGTCTAGGGAGCAAGTCATGCCAGCGCAGCTGAGGCTAATCAGCGAGAGGCATTTATCCAGCACGTTCCTGCAGAGGAGACGAGGGTAGCTTCTGTGAGGCAAACATCAGGACCCAGGGCTTTGCACATCTAGCTGATCAGAGAGTAGTTCCAAAGAAAACGGTGTCAGCACCCACTGTGGAATACAAGCTCTTATCACCAAAACCATGCCAAGTGGCCAACAGGACGCTGAAAAGTGTTTTTAAGCAAAACCCAGTTCATGATGGTTACACATTTCAGCCCTTTGTCGCTCCTGTATGCATTCCATTTTTGTTATGAAAAAGTTAAACATCGAAACACATGGAGAGTAAACCCCTTTCTCTATTTGTCCCCCCAACAGGAGCAAATGATAACATTCTACCATGTTGCTTCATATCATTGTTTTTTTTAGAGATGGTTCTGGTCCTGAACTTCTGAGCTCAAGCAATCCTCCCCTCTTACCCTCCCCAAGTGCTGGGATTACAGGCATGAGCCACCCTGCCTGGCCAATATCATCTTTTAAAGAAATGTAATACAATGGAGTGGAAGCTCCCTGTGTACCTATCCCCAAGCCACAGGTACCCCCATGGCACCTGTGTGTGTGGTTTCCGTGATTTAATGTACTTACTGCATACATATAAATCAGTAGATGGCCTTTCAAGATTTTTATACAAATTGATTCATACCTTACACAGAAAAGGTTTGGCAATTGTTTGATCTACCATTACGCTTTTTAGATCTACTTGTGTTAAAACATGTAATTCTAATTCACCTTAACTTTTACAGAGTATAGATATCACATATGTGATATTCTACATCTTATTCCCAACCCATGGGGTCTTTTGCTATCGCAGATATTGCTGCAACAAACATCCTCATACATGTCTCCTTGTGATACTGCCCGAGAGTTTCCTGAGAGTATATTTATACAAAGTAGAATTACTGGGGACAAGGGGCATGCATGCTTTTAATGGTACTAGAATCAGGCAATAGCTCTCCAAAACATCAGTGTCTTCCCCATTAGCAGCCTGTGCATTTCCATTTGCCCATACAGCCTACCCATCAACACTGAGAGACCTTCCAACGACCGTCACGATAGTCTCATCTAATGGTAATCGCTCTGTTGACTTAAACATTCATTAATTTGTATTTCCCTAATCACTTCTGAGTGTCCTTTCCTGTGAGTGGACATTTCAAGATCCCTCTTTTATAAAGCCCTTGTTCTGATTCTTTGCCCAGCTGTTTTCCACTGGGTTGTTAATCTTTTCTTTTTTGTGGAAACGGGGTCTCACTAGGCTGCCCAGGCTTGTCTCAGACTCAGACTCCTCAGCTCCATCCTCCCGCCTCAGCCTCCCAAAGTGCTAGGATGGCAGGCATGAGCCACTGCACCTGGCCCACTGTCTTAACGGTTTATAAAAAGAGCTTTGTGCATTTTGCTTGCCAAATACTTGTTATATATGTTGCAAAGATCTGCTCCAAATCTGTCCACTGCCCACTGCATTTCAAAATGTAAACTGAGAAGTCCTGTGACGACAGAACTCCCGAAATAGTGTGGTCTTAAAGTGAGGGAAGAGTGCACACAGCTGCGAGCTCCACAGACATCAAACCACACAGCCAAAGCGACGGAGCTTCTATATTTGGGGGGCACTTTATGCTTTTCAAGGCATCTTTGTCTTTTTTGCAGGGACAGTATCTCACTCTCTCACCCAGGCTGGAGTGCAATGGTGAAATCTCGGCTCACCGCAACCTCCACCTTCCCGGGTTCAACCCATTCTCCTGCTTCAGCCTCCCAAGTAGCTGGGATTACAGGCGCCTACCACCATGACCGCCTAATTTTTGTATTTTTAGTAAAGCCGGGGTTTCACCGTCTTGGCCAGGCTGTTCTCAAACTCCTGGCCTCAAGTGATCCGCCCACCTTAGCCTCCCAATGTGCTGGGATTATAGGCGGGAGCCACCGCACCTGGCCAAGGCATCTTTCAATCCTCTAATTTCAGCCTCACAAAAACCTGAGGCTAGTGGGAACCCACCTCTTCCCGCTGAGGGGAGGGCCTTGGTTCAGTGGTTGGTCAAGACCCATTCAATGCTCCAAGTCTGACCTGTTACCCCAATTTTGCAGCTTTCCGGAACAACTCAGACCAGAGAAGCAGGCAAACCTGTCTGCAGTCACAGCCCTGAGTAATGGTGGAGGAGAGCCCAAAATCCCAGTCACCTGGTCTCGTGGACAGCGTCTGTCTCCCCCAAGAAAAGTCCACATCAGGGTGGTGCCAAAGCCGGCACCAGAAGACCTCGGGGAGAGACGGGAAGGTGTGCATCACTGACAAGCACAGCGCTGCCAAAAGACCTAGAACGCGGCAAGACGAGAGCAGCCCCCTCCATCCACCCAGGCCGCACCCACCTCGCCCCTCCGTGCGCCCAGGATGCGCCCACCTCGCCCCTCCGTGCGCCCAGGATGCGCCCACCTCGCCCCTCCGTGCGCCGAGAACGCGCCCATCTTGGTGTTTCTGCCCCATGAGAAAAGGATTATGTGAACACAGTGATGCACTTTATTCCACTTTTATTGTGCAACAGCCGTGGGGACCTGATTCTGAGCTAAGTGCTCTACTGTGAGACGTCACCAGATGTCATTGCTAGAGGCAAGAATCAGTTACAAAGATGAAAGGGAGGAACCTAATGCTTTTTTTAATGGTTATTATTCCATGCAGAAACACTGATTGATCCAGAACTGGTATCTGAGCCGGTGACCGAATGGAAATGCTCTTCTTCTCAGTGTAAGAGGAAGCCCCAGGACAACGGCTGGGAACGCTGGAGGAGAGAAACGCCCCGGCAGCCAGCGTGAAGTTTTTCACCCGATTTGTGGCTCCACCCCCACGAGTCCACGAGGAGAGGCATCCAGTCTTGCAGCACGAGGGGCATCGCCGTGGGCAGCTCGGGCTCACTCTGTTCTGCAGTCTGGGACGCGAGCTCAGGCTGCCTGCGTGCATCCAGTGAGTACCACGTTCCCGTTTCTGGGCACAATGTCTCTAGGACAGGCCTGACCCCTTCTCCATTGCCCCAGAAACCACACATCCCAGAACAAATCATGCAAAGGTCCTCCAGCTTAACTCCCTGTTGTGGGTGGGGTTCTTAAAATTGATGAAGACAAAGACTCAGGTGGCTCATGCAGTCAAATGGGCTGTGAATCCTCCACCTGTGGCTTATCATGCAGAATGACCTGTTACTATTACTGTAAGATGGGACTGCAAGGTTTTCTTCTCCTGCCTTGGCTGCAGTCCCATTCCCATCCTACTCAAAGCACTGGGACAATGCTGGGTGCGTGACAGATATTCCACGAGTATCCGCAAAACCAAATCGTGAGTGAGTGATGGTGCTCCTAGGTGCAGGCAGCCTCCTTGCTAATTTGATAGCTTCAAGGAGTTAGCAAACTGCAGGTTGGGTGAATTCATTTGACAACCATAGAAACAGATGAAAAGTAATGCCCAGAGTCTCCAAACGGCCCTTTGCACTGGGAATGCACAGCCAAGAGAATGTACACCTTCATGCTGCTGTCGGTTTGAACGGCTCACAAGCAAAACCTTAGAGGGACAGCATACACATCCTCTAAAAGGCTTTTATCCTACATATAAACTTTTTACAAGACTTTGAGACCTAATACTGAAGATACATTTCCTAAGAAACTCAGTGCTACTTGTGGGGAATACAAAGCCAGGGCCTTCCCTGAGGAAGACCCATAGAAAGCCCCTGAGTGGTGGATGCGCCCAGGCTCAGGGTGGGGGGCGGGGGGGCTTGGAAAGTCCTCCAGGAAAAACATCCACACGGCAGAGAGCCAGCAGAGCAGTGGTCTCAGGCCACGACTCCAGGCTGACCTTCCGTGGCCCAGCCACTCCCTATGAGCACCGAGGGCAGTCCTGGTGCCCACCCAGACGTGGTGGCCTGCACCTGCGACCTGTGCACCTGTGCAGGCTGCCCAGGAAGGTGGGAGTCGGCAACCAGGCCCTGAGTCCCCAGCTCTGCCAGCCTCCTCTGTGCTCCCCGAGCCGCCTGTCCTTACAGTGCCTTTGAGGATGGTCTGTAAAAGAGGAAAACTGGACAGCTGGGCCCACGCCCAGTGAGAGGGTAGCTTCCAAACAGTGCAGGGCCACACCCACAACTGTGACCTGAGACCGAGGCCTTCCCAACGGCTTGGAAACATTCTCCAGGATCCAGGAGAGAAGCCCAAAGAAGAGCGCAGGAAGGGACTCGAAGGAGCGTTGTTGTGTCTACAGCAATCACGCTGCTTCAGAGGAACGGGCAGAGACCCCTCTAGGGGCAATGCTGGGCACAGCAGGGGCAGCCAGCAGTGAGTGGCAGCTGCCCAACCTCTGCCTGCAGCTCAGTTGTAGGAGAGGTAATCGATGAGCCGGGGCGGAATGTTTAACTTGGCGATCTTCTCCAGCCCTCGGACACCAGTGGCCTTCCTCAAGCTCACCCTGCAGAGCTGTGACAGAGTCAGAGGTGTCTCTGTAAAAGGGAATAAGGAAGGATGTGAGGTTAGTTTAAGGAAGGAGCACAACACCTGCAAGCAAGTAAACTCAGATGGAATCAGAAATGCCTCCCTTTCCCCTGGAACCAGGATGTGTCCTGCAGGCCTTCTCTGTAAGGACAGCCAGGAACGCCAGGGAGGGAGCCCAGGAAATGAAACTCGGGTGATGTCAACTGGATTGCATTTTGTGGGTTTGGGTTTTTTTGCCTTTTTTTTTTTTTTTTGAGATGGAGTCTCGCTCTGTCATCCAGGCTGGGGTGCAATCTCAGCTAATGCAACCTCTGCCTCCTGGGTTCATGTGATTCTCCTGCCTCAGCGTCCCAGGTAGCTAGGATTACAGGCACCTGCCACCATGCCCACCTATGTTTTGTATTTTCAGTAGAGACAGGGTTTCCCCATGTTGGCCAGGCTGGTCTAGAACTCCTGACCTAAGGTGATTTGCCCACCTCAGCCTCCCAAAGTGGTGGGATAACAGGTATGAGCCACCGTGCCCTGCCTGGTTTTGGTTTTTTGAGCCACAGCATTATATTTCAGCACCCAGATTTGTCATCAAGCAACTAATCTATAGCTAGAAGGCTCTTCTGTCGAACATCCAGCATGGGAGGCACAGGTCTGGCGCCAGGCAGGTGTCAGCTGCAGCTCCTGCTGCCCCAGGCCACAGGCCACAGGGAACCCAGGAAGAGCTGGGGCAGCAGTACAAACAGCCCCAGCAAAGTGCCCAAGGGTCTGTCCTAGTGCAAAGGGCAGGAGCCAGGACTAACAGCCTAGCTCTCCACTGAAGCCCACAGGGGGCCGGCCCAGGCTGAAGGCTGGAGGGGGGTGGGGGGGGGGTGGGCGCTCAGTGGGGTGCCTCACTCTCATAGTACTCAAGGCACTTGGCAGGAGCGCTGCTGCTCCACGTGTAGTCAGACGGCTTCTTCCCACGGTTGTCCCGGGCGTAGATGTTGCCACCAAACTCAATGAGCATCTCGATGAGGTCGACATTCTTGACCTTGGCCGCGTGGTGAAGGGCCGTCTCATGAAGCTTTGCGGCATTCACGTTGGCCCCTGGAGGTCAAGAGCCGGGAACAGATTTCACCGAGAAAAGAACTTGGAGTGGGGGCTTGGGGAGACAACCGCATGCGTGTGCACGGTAGGCAGAAGCAATCCCCATCCAGAAGACAAAATCGAGACAGACTCTACCATAGCTTTCAAAAATGTTTTCAACATCCAAAAGCAGGAATTACTTATTGTTCCCCCTCATGAGAACAGAGGTAAAGGCAGGCAGTGATAATAAATAAATAACTGGAAATAGAACCAGAAAGAAGAAAAACAATACAGAAAACATCCCGAGTTATCGGTTCTAATGCCCTATCAATCTGCCTTCAGGGGTCCTGACGTTGCCGGAAGTTCCAATCAGAGCCACTCCAGCATCCCCGCCTGGCCTGCAGCACAGATACACTGTGCTGCTTCCTCTTGCAGGACGGAGGCTCTGGAAATACTGGATGGATGAAGGAATGAACATTCCTTAACAATGCATGTTCTCTTACAAAAGGAAAACAGATAATGTACCCAAAACAGTAGGCAATTCAGAGAAGAGAGTGAGCTTTGCACTCAACTTTCTCAGGATAGGAGCAGACATTCATCAAGCTGATTAAAAGTAAAGTAGCACAATTAAAAAAAAAGAAAAAAAGACATTCAGAAAGACGCAAAGGACTAGTAGCTAAGTATGGCTTTTTTTTTTTTTTTTTTTTGAGACAGAGTCTCAGTCTGCCCCCCAGTCTGGAGTGCAGTGGCACAATCTTGGCTCACTGCAATCTCCGCCTCCAGGGTTCAAGCAATTCTCCTGCCTCAGCCTCCCAAGTAGCTGGGATTACAGGTGCCCACTACACCCAGCTAATTTTTGTAATTTTGTAGAGATGGGGTTTTGCCACATTGGCCAGGTTGGTCTTGAACTCCTGGCTACAGGCACAAGCTGCCACATCTGGTCAAATACTGCATTTTTTAAATGCACTAAAAAATTTTGATAAAAATATTTTTGTAAAACATCATTCTTAGGGCACAGCCATCATTAATCCCATATAATAGACTCTCCCAGGGCTTCCGAATTCTTTTGGAAGAAAATGCTATTCTCTTCGAAGTCTGTTCCTCAGTAACAAAGGAGGTTATAAGATAAAATGAATAAGAAGTATTTTAAAGAAGCCAAGCAAATCGCCCAGCATCAGTAAAATAATCTGCCAAATAACAGATTCAAACCACAACCATAAAATATTATCAAAAGTGGGATTTTACAATGAACAGACCACCAGCATGCCATCACTTACCGACAATTTCATAGGGTCAGAAGAGGAGTTGAAGAGTGGAAAGCTACATTTTCTAGTTCCTGTGCTCAAAAAGTATCCGAAAAATCCTGCTTTCTGTTTTAAAATGTTTTAATTCCCTAAAAGCACATAAGAACCATGCGCATAACAGCATTCATGCCATGATCCTAAGAATGCCCCAGCCCAGCCGGGCGCAGTGGCTCACGCCTGTAATCTCAGCACTTTGGGAGGCTGAGATGGGCGGATCACAAGGTCAGGAGTTCAAGACCAGCCTGACCAACACAATGAAACCGTGTCTCTACTAAAAATATAAAAATTAGCTGGACGTGGTGGCGGGCGCCTGTAATCCCAGCTACTCAGGAGGCTGAGGCAGGAGAATCGCTTGAACCTGGGAGGTGGAGGTTACAGTGAGCTGAGATTGTGCTACTACACTCCAGCCTGGGCAAAAAAGAACAAAACTCCGACTGTCCCAGCCCTCCAAAGTGATGACAGAAGTGAAGAAAGTTCTTTCCGCTTCCCACAGCCAAAACTCAAGTCTGGGCAGGAAAAGGTGCAGGGAGCCAGAGTAGCCCACCTCCTCTGGGGGAATCAGCAGCAAGGCTGCTGTGAACTTCGGGTGAACTCCAGAGTAGTGAAACCATCCTAGGGGAATGTGTGTGTCTCAGAGAAGAGCAGAGAGGCCTAGAAAAAGATAACCAGCTCTCACTGACCTTGCTGCAAGATAGCTGTTAGCTGAAGCATGTTAACTGAAGTGTGAGAACTATAACCACAAGCTGTTCTAAGTAACTGTACCCTCCCTCTGCGATGTGCTTTGTAAACATATAAAATAAAGTACTTTGAGGCAGGTGGGGGCCGAAGAGACTGATGCCATCAGCTTTCGGACCACCTGGTCCAGCTTTATATGTGTCTGTCTGTATGTGTGTCTTTATCCCCCGCCATTCCCTCTTCCGTCTTTGAACACTTGTGCAGCGCGGGACACAGCACACGCCAGAAAAAGGATCTCTCAATTAGGAAAAACGCTAAATTACCTAGGTCCTGAATTTGGCAGAAATGTACTACAAAAAAATAATATTTAAAAGCAATAGATTAAAAAATATTTTCCCCACAGTTCATCCTCTCTTTCACATAAGGGGTTTTCCTCCAGTATAATGTTGCAATCATGAAAGAAGTAAATCTTAACACTAAGCATACACTTGTAATGAAAAACAAATTGTACCATCCACAGAATCTAAAGTTCAAGTAGCTTTCTCTCATGTCATTAATTCTGGTAACATTCTTGCCAACTGGGTAAGAAAGTGATGATCTCTATTTTTACAAAAAAAAAGAAAGAGTCCCAAGGGAGGCACAGCTACTCCCTCGCCGTCAGGGGGAAACATGGCTGAAAAGAGCTCTAAAAATCACAGTCCCTGCCGCGCTCCACAGACGAGGCCTTGGCCAGGGGCTCTTGCAGAGAGGCAGCCTTCCCAATGCACAGCTTTTCAAAATGTGTGCTTGACATCATTTGACTGGGTGAAAGGGAAGGAAGGTGAACAAGAAAGGAAATGAAATTGTGAATAAAGAATTGAAGTGAAACAGCAGGCCGGAGTGCACACAGCAGCATGGACAGACCCTGAAAGTATAGCACGACGTGAGCCAAGAAGAGAGTGAGCGAGGAAAGCCCATCAGCTATGTGCATTAAAAATACACGCCTCAGCGCAGTGGCTCATGCCGGTAATCCCAGCACCGTGGGAGGCCCAGCCAGGCGTATCACCTGAGGTCAGGAGTTCGAGACTAGCCTGGCCAACATGGAGAAACCTCGTCTCCACTAAAAATGCAAAAATTAGCCAGGCACGGTGGCTCATGCTTGTAATCCCAGCTACTTGGGAGGCTGAGGCACCAGAATCACTTGAACCCAGGAGGCGGAGGTTGTAGTGAGCCGAGATGGTGTCACTGCACTCCAGCCTGGGTGACAGAGCAAAACTCTGTGTCAAAAAAAAAAAGAGGGGAACAGATACAGAGGAAAGAGAAGGAAGAGAGAAAAAGAAGGAGGGTAGGAGAAGGAAAGAAAGCAGCTTTGTGTGAAGCGAGGATGGCGACATACATTGAACTGAGAGGCTTGAGAAAGACTCAGACAAAGACAGAGACAGAGACAGACAGACAGAGAGACAAAGATGGGGAGCTAGGAAACAACCAGGGAATTACATGCTCTGAACTTCATCCTTCAGAGAAAAGGGGTCAACACAGGCTCATTACCAAAATCCTGCTTTCAACGCAAAATAGGATTACAGTGGATTGCAGAACCCGTGGCCAGCATTGAAGGGACCTTCTAAGACCTTGGCACACCCAGGCTGGCGCAGTCCTGGAACATCAGCACAAATAGCCCAATATGTGCTTGTTAAAACTAGAAAAAAAATTTTTTAATTAAAATTTTTTAAAAAACAAAAATTTTTAAAAATTAAACAATTAAAAAAAATTTTTTTAATTGTGCCTGGGTCAGTGCTGAGAATGAAAGTGGAGGCATGACCGTCCTTAGGAGCCACTTCTGAACACTCCTGGCAGAGTTAAATATTCACTGTCAGCGATCAGATTAAAAATTACCTCACCATAATAACCGGACTTTCACCCTCCCCCACCCCCCGCCTCCTCTGCAAATACAATCTGGTTCCTGGACTCGCCTCACCACCTACAAAGAGCCAGAACCACCATCTCCACGTCCCACATGGGGTGCAACGTGGCTGCCTCACAGCTCAGCTCTCAAACTGCACACAAAAGCACCTGCAATCATGTGGCCCTGACTGATGCAGTCCCTCCCCCTCTCCACAGTAACTGGTTCAAATGACACAGGCTTGAGCCAATCAGAATTTGGCAAAGTTTGGGCAAGGGGACTTGGAGAGTGCGGGAAAAGAGATTTTCCACTCTTCTGTTTCTCTAAAGACACGGTCCTTGGCTTTCCCCAAGGATCTATGATCTGACCCCAAAAGTTCAGAATCACTGCTTCTTAAAGCATCTGTGTGTGAGGACATGGGGCATGCTGCTGTTTCTCTCTTCTTCTCTGCATGTTTGAAATTTTCCACAGTGAAGAAATGGTTCCTAAGGAAAAGATGATTATCCATCTGCTCTTACAAGGTGTGTTAGAGGAGACCACCCGAGAGGAGGGTGAGAATCAGGAATCCCACGTGGAGCTGATGGCTGGACGCTACCCACAGCATCGAGTTGACCACAACAATCACAGTGGGGAGGCTTCCCCAAGAAAGCCGTATTCATCTAACTCCCCAGGGGCATGCGAACTCCCGGGAGAGCCGCAGGAACCCTGCTTCAGGGTGACAGTGGGCATCACAGCTGCCCCTCCCTTTCCTGGTCATGTGGCAGACGCAGGAGCAGACCTGGCCTCAGCCCCAAAGTGGGCCCCGCCTGCTCCAATGCCTCTCCCCTGACCACGCTCATCGGTTCTAATGACCCAGGCTTCAGCCCATCAAAATTTGGCGACGTTTGGGCACCAGGACCGGGGAGGGGTGTGTGAAAAGGGATTTTCCACTCTTCTGAAAGAGTCCCCAGAAAGCTTAACACAGGAAACGTCTGGCGTGCAGGCCTGAAGCCACTGTAGCCCCCATGACCTTTCTCAGGGAAGCCAGAGGCTTAGGATAAAGCCAACCCTGAGGAAAGCAGAATTGCAAAAATCAAAGAAACTGAGGCCTGAGTGACACCACAGAACCTCTAGTCCAGCCACCCCTAAACCTGCTCTGCATCTCATCCCTGAAACCCCCTGAACTAGAAATGCCTGCCACTGTTTACCAGGTGGAAGTGGCTTCCTCTTACCGCAAAGGCGTCACAACTGATATGAAGTCCTACCTGATCCAGAAAGGATGTTTGCTTTAAACACTAAGTTGATTTTTTTCCCAGCAACCACACCAAAAGGAACCAAGGTAAAAACGGAACCAATGTGTACCGAGCTCACAAAGGCTTGACAGGAATCACTGCCCTGTGTTGACAGAAATGGATCCAGCTGTCAGGAGAAGCTCGACTGGACACACGGACGTCTGCTTCCAATGGAGACATTTTTAAGGCAGCGTATAAAAAATTTAAAATACCCTAACAATTATTCTTACACAAAATGAATCTTTTCCACAAAAAGACGTAAAAGTGGCACATGAAAGCAAATAAGGTTCTCCAATAGAAAACTACATATAGGGCCGGGTGCGGTGGGTCACGCCTGTAATCCCAGCACTTTGGGAGGCCGAGGCGGGTGGATCATGAGGTCAGGAGATTAAGACCATCCTGACCAACATGGTGAAACCCCGTCTCTACTAAAAATACAAAGAAAATTAGCTGGGTGTGGTGGTGGGTGCCTACAGTCCCAGCTACTGAAGAGGCTGAGGCAGGAGAATTGCTTGAACCCAGGAGGCGAAGGTTGCAGTGAGCCAAGATCGCACCACTGCACTCCAGCCTGGGTGACAGTGCAAGATCCTATCTCAAAAAAAAAAAAAAACTATATAAAACTAAGCTCAAATGGCTGTCATGGGGCAGGGGTGGATTCATGATCTTCCTATCCTTAACAGGTGTTTTGTTGTTGTTGTTGTTAGAGGTGGGGTCTTGCTATGTTGCCCAGGCGGCTTCAAACTCCTGGACTCAAGCAATCCTCCCTCCTCAGCCTCCCAAGGTGCTGAGACCACAGCTATGAGCTGCCGTGCCCAGCCATCCTGAGCACTTTTGTTTTATTCTACACTGCACCCAGAATTTGGATGGATGAGATGATGAAACTAAAATTTTCCCTCAACAAAACATTTAAGTTGGGTTAATGGAAAAAAAAAAACCCTGTGCCAACAGTCACTTTGGCTACATTTGAAAACTTCTGCTATAGATAGGTCCTGAACCTGCTCCTCAGTTGGTTGGGTCTTTTTAGTTTTGATTTTTTTTTTCCCTCCTTGGGAATCTCAATCCCGAGTCTTTTTTGAACACCTGACAATGGCCTGGATTCCAAACGCTCCATTCTCCTAAACGCTGCTGACTCCACTTCCCATTGCACCCCCTTCTCTCTTGGATTCAGGCAGCAACCTCACCAGGCCGCTGTGGGGACAGCGGGCTGTGATCTCTAGAAATAGTCACTGGCATTTGTTGCGTACCTACTAGGACACACCAGGCACCAGGAAAAATCCCAGTCCTCCCAGCCACCTGCAGCACAGATTCTTCCAGTCCTCAAATCTGTAAACTGAGGCCTGAGGTCTCAGCTGGCAAGCGGGAGAGCCAGCCTCTAACCTTGGTGCCTCTGACTCCTCTACCCAGCTCTCTGCCAGGCACAGTGCAGGTAAACACTTGCCCAGGTAAATGCCCGCTCAGGTAAATACGCTTGCAAGGAAACACCTGCTCAGGTGAACAGCCTTGCTAGTGTATACCCATTCAGGCAAACTTCTCAGATAAATCTGTAAATATGCACTCCGTAGGTAAACACCCACTCAGGTAAATACTCTTGCAAGGAAACACCTGCTCAGGTGAACAGCCTTGCTAGTGTATACCCATTCAGGCAAACTTCTCAGATAAATCTGTAAATATGCACTCCGTAGGTAAACACCCACTCAGGTAAATACTCTTGCAAGGAAACACCTGCTCAGGTGAACAGCCTTGCTAGTGTATACCCATTCAGGCAAACTTCTCAGATAAATCTGTAAATATGCACTCCGTAGGTAAACACCCACTCAGGTAAGTACTCTTGCAAGGAAACATCTGCTCAGGTGAACAGCCTTGCTAGTGTATACCCATTCAGGCAAAATTCTCAGATAAATCTGTAAATATGCACTCCGTAGGTAAACACCCACTCAGGCAAACACCCACGCACCTGCTTTTAGTAGCATTTTGACACAGTCCAGATGCTCCCGGGCACAGGCCACGTGCAGAGGGGTCCCAAAATGGCAGTCATGTGCTTCCAGATTGGCCCCGACGTCAATAAGAAGCCTCACGCATTCGGAACTCCCTTGAGACAAATGGAAAAGGCAGGACATGCCCATGAATATGGATGCTGGAGACTACAAGCACAACAGACGCGGCAGCTGCAGCAGGCCTCCATCCCCAGCGCAGGGCAGAGAAGCCAGGCAGCCCTCGTCCCGACCTAAGGAGGCGTTCATGCCCCGCACGGCCTGCCCTCAGGAAGCCAGGACACAGCTCTGCGTGCCCCTGAGGAGGGGAGGGCTCATGGCCCACCCGGCAGTGGGAGAAACAGGCCTGGCTGGCCTCTTGCTGTGAGAACAGAAGGCCTGGGCACCACCTAGAATGGGCCAGGGAAGACTCTCTTGCTGCCCCCCACCACCCTGTGTCTACCCACAGCTGCCGGCACTGAGCCCAGCCTCCCAGGAAACCCCCCAGACTTTCTTAGGCAGGTCATCCTCCTGTGCCCCATGGCAGCCACCTCTCCTGCTTCTCTTTTTTTAGACAAAGTCTCGCTCTGTCGCCCAGGCTGAAGTGTAATGGCACGATCTCAGCTCACTGCAACCTCCACCTCCTGGGTTCAAGCAATTCTCCCAACTCAGCCTCCCAAGTAGCTGGGATTACAGGCATATGCCACCATGCCTGGCTAATTTTTTTTTGTATTTTTAGTAGAGTTTCAACGGGGTTTCACCTTGTTGGCCAGGCTGGTCTTGAACTCGTGACCTCAGGTGATCCACCCTCCTCAGCCTCCCAAAGTGCTGGGATTATCAAAGGCATGAGCCACGGTGCCCGGCCTCTCCTGCCCCTTCGGCGCTCCCCTTCCTGGATCTGTAATGTGGATTTGGATCGCGGTTCCTCCACCCTCCTGGCCCTGTGCAGTCTGTCCAGGCTCCAGCCTCTGCAGTCACTGAATTACCTCTTCACTGCTGGCGGCTCCCCGATTTTCCCCACCAGCCCACAGCCATGTGCTGGCCGCTGTATCCTCTAGTAATTTTTTTTTTAATCTGTGACATTACATATATACATGTATGTGTGTAGATAGATACAATACAGCTCAATTCTACAATGTATATTTTATACATTAAAATATTTTCTGACACTAGTGCACTTCTTACATTGATTTTTATGTTTAATGTAGTTTTTCTTCTGCAGAGCTACATTGAAAAAAGCTGATGGATAGTGAATTTTACAATTGATAGCATCTAAGGAACAACTAAATATATTATTTATATGAGGGAAAGGCTAGTTGAAAGAAAATCACCATAGTTTATAATGGGAATGAAGTCCTTTTATCAGAGTTAAGCACACAAATATGATTGTTCTGCCCTTAGATTTCTGAACAGAATGAGAGGCAGAGTCAATGTTTGGCTGCAATATAGCATTTACACAAGATGGCAAGTATTCCTGGGGATGCTGTAGTCCCAACAATACAATCTTCTCCAGTCTAACATCACAGTAATCTTTGTTGGCATTAAAGCTATTTCATCTCTGGCAGAGTAACATTCAGTGGATGGATTAGGAGTCTTATCTTGCTAAAACCGGCAACATCAGGAATCGACAGATGAGTGACTTCTGCAAATGGTACCTGAGGGAGGACTATACTTTTTTTCTTGAAGTTTCCAGGGATGATCCTAACACTGCAGGTGGCACAAATGATGTGGTGGAAGAAGTTGATTTTTCTGAATTTTTTTTTCAAGCTCAGATTAGGTCCTAGCAGATGAATGATCTAGGTTCGGCTGTGTTTTTTGGTTGTTGTTTTGTTTTGTTTTAAGCAATGGAAGGAAAAAAAACAAAAAATTTTGTTCCTTTTCTAGGTACAGAAATTGATACAGCATGTATCAATTCCCCATAGCCATGTGCTGGCCGCCGGCCACTGTCTCCCATCCAGAGCCCTTTCCCTTCCTGGGGTCTCCACTCCTAGCTCAAACCTGACTCACTTCTGACCTCTCAAGCCTCCTCTTTGTACCAAATCCTATGGATTCCTCTCCCAAGCCTTCTAAATGAACCCATCCCACTCCACCAGCCTACTCTGAGCACTGGGCACCTTGACCCCTGCGATGGTCCCAGGTCACCCCTCTGCTTCCAGGAGACCCCAACCACCATCGCCACCTCCGTCTATCTGCACATGGAGGGCCACTAAATGAAGCTCCCCGAAATTCTGTTTTCCTGACCCTCAACATCTGCTCAGAAACCTTCAAGAGCTCCCTGGAGCTGTAGTCTTTTCATGTATGAAAAGACTCCAAAGTAGGGGGTAAACCTACCCCGCAGTTTACATATCTGTGAACCACAGACAGCCATGGCTCTGCCAGCACTATGGAAGGGCACACACCCCAAACCCCGCACCCCAGACGTGCATCCAAAGACAAAGGCCACACTGGCCAGTCACAATACAAGCCACAGTTTGCAACCTTTGCCCACAAGACTAGAATCCAAACTCCTTACTCTGTCATTTAAATATTGTCCCACCAGCTGGTCTCACCCTAAATTTGAGTCCTATCCACTCCACTCCACTGGGAGCTCCTGATGCAGTAAGACAGGACAAGGACTGTTTCCCACGCTCGCGGTCCCCTCTGATCTTCCCAGCCTCTGCCATCTGCCCGTTCTTGGAGAGCAGCTGAGGTCCCACCTGCGCCCTGAGCCTGCGGGGCCAGCACTCTGCTTTGGGAGTGCTGCGCACAGCCTCCTGGCCCAGGCTGTCAGGACACGCTGCTCCGTCATCTCCCATGTCAACCAGGGGCCTGCAGCGCAACCTACAGCAAAGCCCAGGTGAGCCTCTGCCAAGTCCCCCAGGCCCTGGTGCTAACGTGGAAGGGCCCGAGGAGCCCAGGCTTGGCCTCAGAATCCTACCAGAGAGTCACCCACCCAGCCCTGGACGAAGACCTCAAGCTTAGAATCGCCACAGCTGAGTCACCAGGAGCCAGAAACAGACTCGGAACTCTCCTTCACCGGCCAAGGGCTCCCAATGCCATCCACTCTGCTTCACTCCCAAAGTCCTTTAATCCTGGAAAGGAAGAAACTTCCAGGGCCCAGCTGGGCCAGCCCAGCCATCTGCCAACTCACCACTCATGCAGGCCTCATGCAGCGGGGACGCTGTGTACAGGGGAGGGTTGACCTTGGCCCCGTAGGACAGCAGGAGCTTCACACACTCGATGCTGCCCGAGGCGCAGGCATCACAGAGCGGGGTGCTGCCATCAATGTTGCGGGCGTCCACCTCATGGGAGGAAGAAACAGGCGTCAAAGGGCAGGGAAACGCCACGCAACCGCTTTCCCATCCTGCCGCAGTTCACCTTTGCACACAGGTTTGCTATTACGTGCTAGGCAAGGACACTGAAAGAGACAGCACGTGGCTAGGGAGCACCCACAGCCTCCAAGTACAGAAGTCATCTCATTCAGGATTCTTTTCTCTCGGGGCAGGATAAGCTCAGCCACCCCCTACCCACCCCTGCCCCAAACACCTGCTAAGCACAGTGCAGAACAGGGGACCCCTAGGTTGCAAGCTGGGAGAGGCAGGCTTTAAAAATGGGTTTTAAGGAGCCAGGTATGGTGGCTCATGGCCTGTAATCCTAGCACTTTGGGAGGCCAAAGTGGGCAGATCACGAGGTCAGGAGTTTGAGACCAGCCTGGCCAACATGGTGAAACCCCGTCTCTACTAAAAATATAAAAATTAGCCAAGCATGGTAACACGTGCCTATAGTCCCAGCTACTCGGGATGCTGAGGCAGAAAAATTGCTTGAACCTGGCAGGCAGAGGTTGCGCTGAGCCAAGATCATGCCACTGCACTCCAGTCTGGGCAACAAAGTGAGATGCCATCTCAAAAAAAAAGGGGGGGGTTTAAAAACTCTAACCTCAACTGGGCATGATGGCTCACCCCTGTAACCATAGCACTTTATAAGGTGAGGGGGCACGGTCACTTGAGCTCAGGAGCTCAAGACCAGCTTGGGCAACATGGCAAAACCCTGTCTCTACCAAAAATACAAAAATTAGCTGGGTATGGTGGCATGCACCTGTGGTCCCAGCTACCTGGGAGGCTGAGGTGGGAAGATCACTTGAGTCAAGGAGGACGAGGCTGCAGTGAGCTGTGATCATGCCACTGCACTCCAGCCTAGGCAACAGAGTAAGACCTTGTCTCAAAAAGCCAAAAACACACACAACTCTACCCTCAATGGGAGGCTTGCCAGAGGCAGCTTACCACACCTCCCCTAGTGAGAAAGTCTGAGGCCAGGAAAAAGGCAACTCCCCAAATTAGCAAATTTTATTTAGCACTTGTCCAAATTCATCTTCTGTTTGGGTACACACTGACACTGGTTTCATTCCAAGCTTTTGGGAAGAGTAAACAGTACACCATCTTGCCTTCTTCCCCGCCAATCCCCCAGCTTCGACTCTGAGACCAGAGCTCTGTGTCCCTTATACGTTGGCCAGGGGTGTGCAGGGCCAGCGTTTGCCAGCTCGGGAGAGCCAGCTGCCAAAGTGCCAGGAATTCCGCTGACCAGAAACCCCGGGTAGTTTAACACCAGCCAGGATGGGAACATTTACACCAGGGAAAGCAGCAACACGTTTTGCTTCTGCTCCTTTTTTCAGAGAGTGGGCTGGCCAGCATCCCACTGAGGCATCCTGGAGCCAGAACCCTGCTATTTGGGCCCAAGCAGCAGCTCTGCGTCCAGGCCAGGCCGCCCCTGAGAGCCTGTATCTAGGCTGCGGCCACCTGCTGACTCCTGCCCACCGCAGGGCTGGCGCTCCCACCAGCAATTTGCTCAGGCTGCCCTTTCTTCTACCACCATGACCTCCTAACAGCCGGGTCCACGAGCACTTCTCACCCATGGGCTTCCTGGTCCTTGTGTGCAGTGGATGCAGCGCAGCCCCCACCCTCTCTCCCCGCCTTTCCGAAGTTCTCCTCCATTCCAGCAGCTGCAGCCAGTCTGGGGATCTTCCCTGAACGGCCACTCACCTGGGCCCCGGCCGCCAGCAGCAGCTGCACGCACCGCGCCTGGCCCTGCAGACTTGCAGCATGCAGAGGCGTGATGGAGTCCACAGTGACCTGGTTCACACAGGCGCCACTCTCGATCAGCTGCTGCAGCTGCAGGCTCTCACCTCTCTGGGCTGCCTCATGCACAGGGGTCCGCTCCACCCAGAAACCTGGAAAGGAAGGGGACCTCACGCTAAGACCCTGCCACTTCCATCCAGGACAAATGAGCATATGTAAGACTCCAGGGTCTCTGATGCCACCATGGTACCATCCGTGATCATGCAATTGTCCCAGCACTTCTAGAAAGACCCCTGAGCCACCCCCACTGCCTGAAGGCTGGAGTCCAAGCTCCTGGCCTACAAGAGGCTCTGTCCTGCGGGCCCCGCTGACCTCCACGGTCCACCTCCCACCACCGCCCTGTGTAAACCCCACTCTGCGCGCATAGGCCTTCACCACTCCCCCACAGCTCTACACCTGCACCTCTGCGCACATCCTTCCCACTGACACACCCACCTCTGCCCCCTGCCAATTGTCCACTCTGGTAAAAAGTTTACATCCTCCAGGTGGGCCCAGGTAAAACAACTTCTCTGGGAAACACTTCCCACAACGCTCACACATACACATTCAAAGTCCTGCACTGACAGTGTCTCCTGTGTGAGTGCCCTAAGAAATCATGTTTTCATTACTCAACTTTAATGGCTTCCTCAGGCTTGTGTACGTACAAAGTCATGTCATCTGCAAACAAAGATCGTTCAACTTCTACCTTTCTAATGTGGATGCCATTGATTGACTGATTGATTTTTGAGATGGAGTCTTACTCTGTCACACAGGCTGGAATGCAATGGCGTGATCTCAGCTCACTGCAACTTCTGCCTGCCAGGTTCAAGTGATTCTCCTGCCTCATCCTCCCGAGTAGCTGGGATTACAGGCACGTGGCATCACACTCAGCTAATTTTTATACTTTTAGTAGAGACAGGGTTTCACAATGCTGGGCAGGCTGGTCTTGAACTCCTGACCTCAGGTGATCCGCCCGCCTCAGCCTTCCAAAGTGCTGGGATTACAGGTGTGAGCCACTGTGCCTGGCCCTTTTATTTCTTTTTCTTGTTGAATTGCTTTGGCCAGGACTTGCAGTGCCATGTTGAACAGAAGGGGTGAGAGCCAACATCCTTGTCTTATTTCAGTCTCAGGGGGAGAGCATTTGGTTGTTCACATTTAAGGATGATGTTAACTGGGTTTTTCTTTTTTTTTTTTTTTTTTNATGCAATGGCGTGATCTCAGCTCACTGCAACTTCTGCCTGCCAGGTTCAAGTGATTCTCCTGCCTCATCCTCCCGAGTAGCTGGGATTACAGGCATGAGTCATTGCACCCAGCCTGTTTTTTTTTTGTTGGAGATGGAGTCTTGCTCTGTCACCCAGGCTGGAGTGCAGTGGTACCAACTCGGCTCACTGCAACTTCCACCTCCCGGTATCAAGCTATTTTCCTGCCTCAGCCTCCTGAGTAGCGGGGACTATAGGCGTACACCACCACGCCCAGCTAATTTTTTGTATTTTAGTAGAGACAGGGTTTCACCATGTTGCCCAGGCTGGTCTTGAATTCCTGAGCTCAGGCAATCTGCCCACCTTGGCCTCCCAAAGTGTTAGGATTACAGGCGTGAGCCACCACGCCTGGCCCTTTATTTTTTCAGTCTCAATCAATCATAGTGACCCTATTTCCTATAGAGCATCCTACCCAACTGTAGCTAAGGAGAGGTGAGGGAGAGTCTGCGAAGAGGCCTCTAAGCTTCCACGCTCTGCTCACTCCCAAGAGGGAGCTCCAGGGGAAGGCTGTCTTCCTCCCTTCTCTGAACACTGCCAGGATGTGAATTTGCACCTGCTGAGCCATCTGGCTACCTGCCTGAAGACAGGACCTACAGGAATGGCAAGGCCGGGAAAGACTGGAATCTGGAGGACAAGTCAAGAACCATCAGGTGCCTGGAACCAAGCCGATGGCGGGGCTTCCTGTCTGGTAAGAGTCACATTTCTTTCTTCTATTTCTTTTTTTTTTTTTTTAAAGATGGGGTTTCACCATGATGGCCAGGCTGGTCTTGAACTCCTGACCTCAGGTGATCCACCCACCTCAGCCTCCCAAGTGGTAGGGTTACAGGCATGAGCCACCGCGCCCGGCTAAGAGACACGTTTCATTACTGTCTAAACCAGGTGCAGACAAAATCTTGGTAACTAGTACAGATCGTAAACTCCCCAGACGCAGAAACCATGCCTATGTTTTCTCAGCACCCATCTCGGACACGGAGGAGTCTTCTAGAAACTTTAAAACGTCATAAATGACAACAGTGCTGGTCGGAAGCTGACATATCCTTATTGCCAGCTCCCCAGCTTCAAGCAGACAAGATCACATCACACACCTCTTCTCAATCAACAGTTTCCTCTTACTATTCCAACATGTCCCTGAAAAATTTGCCTATCACCTGGATCTTCCCCAGATCATACTTTTACAAAGTGTATCTGGGCCGTGTGCAGTAGCTCATGCCTGTAATCCCAGCACTTTGGGAGGCTGAGGCGGGCAGATCACGAGGTCAGGAGTTTGAGACGAGCCTGAACATCATGGTGAAAAAACCCCGTTTTTCTACTAAAACTACAAAACAAATTAGCCAGGCATGGTGGCATGTGCTGGGTAGTCCCAGCTACTCGGGAGGCTAAGGCAGGAGAATTGCTTGAACCCAGGTGGTAGAGGTTGCAGTGAGCCAAGATCGTGCCACTGCACTCCAGCCTGGGCAACAAGAGCAAAACTCCATATATTAAAAAAAAAAAAAAAATTCTGCAGCGAATTTCCTCTGCAGTCTAGCCACATCGGTTAGTGTTGATGGCTCTGTCTGCTTCTTAGCAATCCCCACATTGCTCCCCCCACCCTCACCTCTGCTTCAGGCACTGAGTACAAGGTTACGAGTTCCCTGGCACCACAACTGCTCAGAACTGCTCAATGGAAACTCAGCTCAGCCTCTTATCAGCTTACCCCAAACCCAGCTTCCCTGAGCATCCATTTCTTTACCTATAAGTTGCAATACTATTTTCTCTGCATAGGTGGACTATGAACATTAAACGAATTGAAACATGTAAATGCACTTAAAGCGTGGGGCTGGCACCGAGTCATTGCTCAATAAACGTTGTCTGCAGTATTTTAGCCTCCTACCTGTCTTGCCCACAGCCAGAGAGCCCGGGTGACCCTATGTCAGGAAGTGGGGACCAGGGAAAACTGAAGCACAAAGGAAGATTCCATCTCCACAAAATGTAAAAGTCAAACTTGTGTAACTTTCTACTTACCATCTCCAGGTGGTCCTCAGCCCCACAGGAGTAATGAACAGTAACCCACTGCCGTCCTGCGGTTAGTGAAAAGTGGCTTAGTGTCACTTTAAAATTAATCCACAGGGAGCAAAATCCCAAGGGTAGAAGGAGAGGTTGCCACTTGGAACAGAAGAGGAAGGCAGGGTGAGGCCTAGGCCTTGCAGCAAAAAAGAAAAGTGCATCTCAGGAGTCTACCTGAGCTGGGAAGGCGCATTCCCGACCTGCCTCCACTCACAGGATATCCAGGTGCATTTAGTGTCTCCCGCTGCTGCACTCAAAGAGGACTAAGATGCAGCAACAGGCAGCTCACAGTCAGGGACCAGGGAATAAATGTGCAGATATTCACAACATGGGCCGGGCGCAGTGGCTCATGCCTGTAATCCCAGCACTCTGGGAGGCCAAGGCAGGTGGATCATGATGCCAGGAGTTGGAGACCAGCCTGACCAACATGGTGAAACCCCGTCTCTACCAAAAATACAAAAATTAGCTGGGTGTGGTGGCACCCGCCTGTAATCCCAGCTAATCAGCAGGCTGAGGCAGGAGAGTCACTTGAACCCAGAGCGGGAGGTTGCAGTGAACTGAGATCACGCCACGGCACTCTAGCCTGGGCGACAGAGCGAGACTCCATCTCAAAAAAAAAAAAAGATAATTCACAACATGACAACTGCAATCACGTCTGGTGATGGGGACTCAAAAGCAAGAGCCCCAGCGCCCAGGGATGGCCAGGAGGTCACAGAAGCTGCAGAGCTGCAGCTGGGTCCATCTCAGGCACTGCTTACTTGCCTGTGGACCCCAGCACCTGGCACTATCCACGAAGATGCTAGTGTCCATGTGGTTGCTCAGTGAGTGAGTGGATGAGTAAATGAATGGAAGGAGTTACTAAAACCAATGATAAGTCTGTGTAGCAGTGAAGCAACAAAAGAACCAACGTTTTTGTTTAAGAGGCTTTTACCCATTCTTACAGAGGCTAGGATAATTTTAGAGCATTGAGATAATATGCAAAAAGAGCAATCACGTAGTTTTAAAATTAACTCTGGGATTAAAAGGAAAGCATGTAAACAAGTAGTTATGTTTTGTTAAAGATTTATAGGAGCACTGTGACCTGATCAAGGACAAAGATGTTCCCAGCCTCCTTGGACCCTCGCTGGTGTCCAGATGTCAGTGGTCCTCGGTTACCTCTTGATCCCAAAAGCCTCCTCTTCTTACGGGCTCAACAGAATTAAGAAACCGAAATCTGAACTGACTTAGATGGCACTTTAGACACTTGTTTACCATCTTCCTGGTTTGCTGGCTCCCAAATAAAACTGCCACCAACTCTTGTCACTTCTGTTTGGCTTTTGAGCAGTAAGCAGCCGAATCTGGGTTCAGTTATAATCATAAAATTTTTAAAAGGAAATCTAATTTGATTTCCCTGTATGACCAACCTACAAAGAAAATGCAACTTATTTCTAGTGAATCACATCAACTGCTGTGGTCTTAGCAGCAGCAATTAAGAGCAAAAAGCAGCAGCAGACATGATAAGAAAAAAAAAACTTCCGTGCATCAAAGGGCACGATGAGTGAAATGGCAACCCACAGAATGGGAGAAAATACGTGCAAGTCATATACCCGATGAGGAGTTAGTCCAGAATACACAAAGAACTCCTGCAACTCAACAACAAAAAAAACCAAATAACCAGGTTTAAAACTGGGCAAAAGATTTGAACAGGCATTTCTCTAAAGAGGATACACAAATGGCCACAAGCATAAAAAAAGGTATTCAACATCACTGATCATTAAAGAAATGCAAATCAAAACCACAATGAGATACTGCCTCACACCTGTTAGGATTAT